AATACTTTTCTACTGAGAATTTTTTGAACATCAAAAATTGATATTTTTTTGTTTGTCAATAAAGTTATAAACAAAATAATTTTTTTTTGTCAAAATCTTTCAGAACTTCTTCAGTTTCTGAGTTTAAAATCTATGCATTTTTGGCGCTTTTGTGATTAATTTATTAATTCATAAAGATAACAAAGTCCTTAAACTCTGACCGAATGTATAAGGACACCATACAGGAATGTGATGGGGAGGGCTGTCCTCATTCGTATGGTTGGCACTGTATAATACTTTACGCAAAATGTGGGCTGTTAGAAATAAAGCAATGTCTTCGACTTTCCAGTCTCTTTGAATGACCTGGAATATTAGCCAAGCTCTCTCACAAATTTAGCGAAACAAATTTCAGAGCTCCGATAACAATCGGAACGACCTGTGCTTTTGCGACTCACATTCAGCTTATCTCTATTTCCAAACTCTTGTATTTATGGTGTTTCTCCACCTTCTTAGTTACGTTTAGATCGCACGGCAGAGACACATCTACAAGTAGACACGAGTTTCTTCCAACTCCCGGATAGTATTGTCCGGTTTGTTTGCCACTACCGTGCGATCAGATTGAATTTTTTGGTCGTACAATAATGTACAGGTCCAACAGTCGTCACCGGTTTTGGTGTGTGTTTGTACTTCTTTGAAAATGTGTTTGGAACTTCGAGGGTGGTACAGATCAGCCAGTGGAGGTAACTACATTCCTTGTAGTGTCTTTTCAAGTATTCGGTACTTGCTAGATTTGGACAAGCTGAGACAATATGATAAATGATTTGTATTTGTTCCTGGCAAGTGCACCATTTATCATCTTGGAAAATTTTGTTAACCGCTTTATCATAATGTATTCTCAACGCATGGTGTTGGGCAGCTATTACTACTGGTTCAGATTATGGCTTCATTCTTCCTCTTTTAAGCCACATACATGATTGATCTTCATTGATTTTCATATTGTACATTCTTTTTAGATATTGTCCATAAAGAGGTTTGCCTCTCCACGACTTCTTTAACTTTTTTTGTGTCTCACATTTCATGTGAAGTTGCATTAGAAGTTCAGTGTCTGTGTTATTCTGCGTGTCTTGCATAGTCTTCTTCACAATGCTTCTTGCTACATTAACAATGTCTCTGTTTCCCATTCTTCGATCAGATTTAACGACCTGCCTCATTAGTATGTCATCTTGATGGTCGACTACGTATTTTCCCATAGCGACTATTGCATTCTATAAGTAGACTACAATTTGCCTAAGGTCTCTTCCCGAAGTTGGGCGACATGATGCATTGTAAGCAGTTTTCTGTTATTTTGATCCATGATTCGAATTTCTTGTTCAGTTCATTCCAGTTCCGTAATCCGAAATTGTACTCGGATAAGGCATCTCGAAAATGCGAATTGCAAATATTTTATTCCTGGAGTTTGGAGCGGACTGCAAGTCATATCTTCTGTTATACTCCCTGCGAGTTCTCTCTTTCATTGAGTCGTTCCAGATGTTCTCACATTCTTCAATGGCCATATATTTCTACGTTTTACGTAACTCAAGATCTTGAATCTCAGGATTGTCTGATGTTGCCATTATGCCTCTTTTTAATTGAATTTTGCACACTTGTCAGGACCAAAGTTCATGCAGATGTCCTTATTAACATCATTCACGACAGACAGTATTTGGGAGAGAATTGCTTCATTTTTAGCCAACACTTCGACGTCATCCATAAAAAAACAATACGAAATTGGTCTGTCATCACCATGGAGCTTGTAACCGACGTTGTGTACAACAACAACTGTCTAGATAGGGAGATCAAACTAATTCAAAACAGCAGAGAAGATAGCGAACATCCTTCGAAAATTCCTTATTATTATTTGTTCTTTTTCTCTGAGTTTATCTCTGGTTTTCACTTTTTGAGAGGACATACATGCATATATCAACCAATGCTAGTGTTGATTTAACACAGTGCGAACAATTTTATACGTTTCGAAAATCACGGTTTTTTGGGCTTTGGGAATTTTTTACCAAGTTCCGGGTCAACTGTTTCCAAGTATCACTTCAAATTTTTCAGTTGCTGTGATTACTATTGGGATTATTTTCACCGAATTGACTTTATACATTTCAGTGTACTATATTGCAGAGCGAAGTGTATTTAGATATTTTTCACATTCTGCTTCATTAATATTGTGATCGGTCAGATGAGCAATATTAATGAAAATTGCATTTTCTCTCTCTCAAACTGTTCAAACAATGTCGTGTCTATTGGCGGCAATGCACCTGTGAGATATAATAGGCATGTCGAAGTACAGTTTGTAATGTTTTTTTCCATTGTATGTCTAGCTTTATATACATTATACGGGCAAGTCTGAGAGAAGTTAAAGTTTTAACTCTGAAGCATAGTGAACAATGCTTGTAGTGAGATTATGACGATGAAAATACTCCGTGTTGGCCATATTTGTACTGCTATTATAATTTGAATGCTGTTATAAGATGATCAATTGTTTCTGGTGACTTTTGACATATCCTGCATTAATCTTGGGTGTCTTGTTTTTCTGTGTACGTCTTGTAGTTATTCGTGACAATAACTTGGTCTTGTATAGCATGGATAAATCCTTCAGTTTCTCTAATCAGAAATCCATCTCTGAGCCTACGCGTAGATGCGTCTTTACCTGCACTGTCGAGAAAATGGTGAAATCTATCACGGAGAATTTTAGATTTCTATGCTTGTATCCTGTCAGTTGTGATTGTGATAGATATGTTTGTCTTCACGATTTAGCGGAGAGAAACCTTTGTCGGACAAAACCATGGCATTGTGCAAAGCTGATGTTTCACACCTAGCTAAAAAGTACTTCATCGTTGTTGGCTGTCTATTTCAAAGCGATTTTAGATCCAAAAGGCCTCGCACACCTTCTCTTCTTGGGATGTAAAGCCACTCTACAGTCGATTGAGAATGGTGCATTCTGTACTTTGTTAATGTTGTACCTATCATGAGGTTGAATTTTTCAAGATCGCTTTGAGACTATTACCCCAAAGGAATTCGTAAGGATTGGCTCACACCAGAAATTAACAGCCTTGATCTTGCTATTGGCAATTAGCTTCGATTACAAAGTTTTTCGGAGACGTAATTTGAAAATTTTTTAAACATTTTCTTGGTGGTTCTTTTCATTGCATTCAAGGTTTATTGCATTCGTTGCCTAAATGCTTCTGGATACCATTGCTGAACATAACAGTGAAATGTGATAGGCTAGTTCATTTCACTTCATTACCGGCTTATAATTTCAAGTCATTCATATACAACAAATGACTTATGGTGTAGACTGATATTATCTTTTCCATCGTATAAAAAGCCATGCCCTTTTGAATCTTGAAAGAGGATTAATTGCAAGGCAAAACCACTATAGGCTTTATGTATCACCTTGAAATACGCCACATAATAGGCTTTGATCTCCGTTTTTCGACCGTCGGAGAGAACTACTTCTGCAGACTATAAACTCACAAGTCTTTGGCAAGTCGATGAAATGATGGATACCATAAATTCCAAAACTTTTATCAGTCAACTATGAGGTAGAGAATTATATGCCTTCTGATAATCTATCCAGGCCACTGCTAAGTTTCTCTTCTTTTTCTTTACCTGACCTCCCACTGTTGGATCTATTTTTACTTGTTCTCTACATGCTTAGGCTCCCTTACTGTAGCCTTTTTGATCTTAAGGTTTTCACTTCTTATGTAGAAGGTAATTGTATGTGCTAAAAGTGAGGATAGGATTTTATATAGGGTGTTTAGGTATGTGATTGGTCTGTAGTTCGTTGAATCGTGCGTTTCCTCGCATTTTGGTTTCAGGTAGGTAGTCGCCCGTGAGATGAAGCTAGACACATCAGAGGGGTCAAATAATATCTTATTCATGATTATGACAAGAAGTGCGTGACGGGCTGTCAGTTTCTTCCAGCAAAAATTCTGGATCCCGCCAGGGCCTGCAGTTTTCCAGTTTTGGAGGTGTTTTATTACATATTTAAGATCAGTTGGGGTCATTGTAGGATTGATCATACATGATGAACCGTTTGCTGATTCATCTTGGATCCAATCAGCCTCGGCATTGTAACTCCCAGGCCTGGCCAATAGATTCCACCAATATTCTTCTGCTTCAGCTAGATCAGGGAGGGCTGCCTGTGCAACGGGTTTCGGTATGGCTTGTAAAATAGTTTCTGATTGAGACCAAATTTCCAGTTTTCAATTATTTGTTATTTTGATGTGTTACAACGCGCAGTCTTTAACCAGGGGCAACAATGTTTTGTTTGAGAGTTTTATAATAATAATAATAATAATAATAATAATAATAATAATAATAATAATAATATCCCCACATTTATGACTAAAAACGCTCAGTGTTGATTAAAATGTCCCGTATGTTCGAATCAGAATCCTAAGGAGGAGATCTAGTGAGGGTGGGTTCCAGGTCTTGCACTTCCAGGTCTTTTGAGTGAGGCTTTAAACAAGTTTGTACATAACCTTTTCGAAACAAATCTTAGAACTTCGATAACTACAATCGGTAAGACGGCCTTTTTTTCGACCCAAATCCGGCTGATCTCGATTACTAGACTCTGGTATGTAAGACTTTTCCCTGCCTTCTTGTTTATGACGTTTTCATCTCGTGGAACAGCAGCTAGTAGGCACAATTAGTTCTTTAAATCCCTAAGAACATCCGTTTTATTACTACTATCGTAAGACCAATACGAATTTTTAGGTCGTACTGCATTGTACACAGTCCAACACAAGTCTAGGGTTTTGTGAGTATTCGTACCAAATCGAACATTTTTTCTGAATTATTGAAGACGTTACTGATGTATTGATGTTACTGTAATTATTTTTGTGGTTATTTTTGCTGTTACTGTTATTATTATTATTATTATTATTATTATTATTATTATTATTATTTATTATTACATAAAGTTTGTACATGTCCATTACGAAACAAATACTAATCGCATTGTATCATTGCAGGGCTTGAAGATTCGTCGCAGCACGGGTGACTTAGACAAGCGAGGTCATCCCGATAGCATCCGTTCCACCGGCTCCAGCGCCTCCTGGGTGAGCACGGAGAGCTCTCAGTCGGGTATCACTAGCGCTTCGGTGCACACAGACTCCAACGCCAGCTTCGTGGTGCAGGTGAGCGCTCTTCATTCGTTGACTTACTTTGCCTTGATTGAAATGGATATATGGTTGTGGCAAGTTATGTTTACAAAAGTAAAAGTTTATTTACCAGTGTTGTAAGAAAATTAATGACAAAATGGTAGACAATTATGAAGCTAAAAATAATATGAATATCACATAAGAAATACGTTTTCGTGTAATAGCATTATTACTCGAATTTGTGTAATAGCATTATGAATAGCAATACTTCTATTGTAATTTTCTAACATTTAAAATTTTGAAACGTTATTCTAAGATGCTCAAATACTTAAAAAAATACTTCTGAAAGATAGTATTTTTACATTTAAACATCCACGTGGAAAGATTTTAAACTTTAATTAGTTGGGTCAGTTTGTGATTATTTTACGTAAGGGCAAATTCTAGCATCGCACACACACTGACCTGAAGGGAAGTGACCTGAAGGGTCGGTCATAAATTACGTAACGCTAAAGAGGGAAAGGGGGATTGAGGAAGCGATACACTGAGTTACGTGGAGGTAAAGGGTGTTAGTTCAGGATTGACACTATTTTTTTTAAATTTCACATTTCCTAAAAGAATATTTTTTTCTTATATTAACTAATTATTTTTAAATAATAAATTAAAGTTATTATGAATGAGTTATAATAAATGGAAATATTTTCCTTGGATATTTTTGTTGAATTTGTAAAATAACGAAGAATTTTTTTTAAAGTAATCGAAGTAAAGTATGTTATAAAATCCAATAAAATTGGCATACGATACTCGCCCATGCGCCATCGACGACTTTTTCGGAGACGTATTTACGTCTATGTACATCCTTCACTCGAAATTGTCTCCAATGTTATTGTAAGGTGCAGTCAGCATTGAAAACTAATTTAGATTTAGATTTATTTAGTCATAGAATAGTACAAAACTGTCACGTATGTGGGAGAAGATCATCTGCGCACGTTTTCTTGAGTTCCAGAATCCCTTCCAATTATAAATCCCAACTATAAATAGATGATGGATGAGTAAAAGTTAAATATAAATAAATAAAAATAAAATTTAAAAAGCGCGAGATTAGCCATATTTAAAAAAACCAGACATTTTCGTTCCAGAGTTATATACAACGGTAACGACAGTATTCCCGACTTATTAGCACGCTAGACGAACTGCAGATTTAATTTTTCTGCATTGCTTACAATATAATAACTTTCCCTTACCTCTACTCCTACCACTTCAAGCATAAGAAGAGTTTATCAAACCGTCCGCATAGTAAAGCTGCATTTACGTCCAGAAGCAAAATAAGGGGCCATCTCAGCATTTGCTCAATGTATCAGGGAAACTGGACATAAACGTGATCGAGATAGGGGCCATTGACCCGGAAGCTGAGGTATATTATTTGTTACAAGCATATTTAGTTTTAAAAAAAACTATACATACAAATGTAAACTAATTCTTTATAAATCATTGTTTCGTTAAAAAACATTATTTTTCTTTTTGATTTGATTTCTTGTTGAATTCTGGCTTTAATTATATACTTTAACATGCTTTTTAATATTTTTTATTATTTTATATATATTTCCATTATAAAAACATAAATTTGTTTTTACGTCTTGTAAATGAGTGCCGTTTTCGTAAACGTTACGAGTACGTTATTATTTAAGGGGGTCGAGCGGGCGTTACGGATGGAGATGGGATTTCAAAATACCCCACACTCGCGTTTCGTAATTTATGGCCAGCCTCATATCGGCCTCTGCGTCGTCTCAGCGTAGGAGTCCGTGCACCGCCCCCAGTCCGTCCACGCGTGCGCCCCTACGTCATGCGAGGCGAGGAACTGCGCCCCGCGCGTGGCCGCTTTTTTGAGCAACTGGGAGTTCTTGAGGGCAAAAACAGCGCCCACCGC